AGGGCTGTCTAATTGAGGAGGAAAGGCATCAGCTAAGTTTTCCTTTTGTCTTTATTCATATATATATATATATATATATATATATATATATATACATATATTGTGTATTAACTATGCCCCCATTCTTCCTTTCTTCACTCAGTTTGAAGTCTTAACATTTTCTGCTGATAAAACAGAATGTTTGGTTCATAAGTTCTCTTCAAAATCTACTTACTTGACTCATCTGGAGTATCTTTGACTAAGTTCTTGTAGAGTGATATGTATATAACACCCTTCTGCTATCATCTCTACACTGGATCACCACAAAACATAATGGTATCAATGCAATAGTCCTTAAGAAATGTGCTCCCAAACTGGATCCTGTTCTCTCTAAACTCTGCAATAAATGCTTGGCTTCATTATTCTTGGATTACAGCTGATTAGAAATCCTCTTTGGTAGTTCTAGTTTTTAAGTACTCTGGTCAATCATCTGATCCTTCCAACCATTGGCCTATCAGCCTTCTACCTCTTTTTGAAAAGTGCTAGTGGCTCTAATCAACTCTGAATTGGTCATGCATCACAGATAAACAGTATGGATTTTGCTTCTCTAAGTCAATTGTTGATATTTTCAAAACGTTTTTATTGTTGAAAGAGTCTAACAAACTTTAGTTAAGAATAGTGAAGTTCATGCTGTTGCTTTGGACATCTCAAAGGCATTTGACAGTGTTTGATCTGATGGTCTTCACCAGTTGACATTAAAGTTTCGGAGAGATTAGCTGATAATGTTTAACCTTCATGCTCACAAAAAAATGATGTGTCAAAAGCACAGTTTTTCCCTTGACACAGCTATTATTTTAACTACCTTTCCTCCTCGGCAATGTTTATTTTTTTTTTTTTACATCAATAACTAGAATTATAAAACCTAAACACATGTAAGTGAATTTATACATTTTTTTTGTTCTTAAGTATTGACACCAAAATATTAAACTCTATTTATCTATTAGATTGTTTATTCACAAAAATAATTTTATATTTGCATTCTAAGAATTAACACAATTTGAATTAATGCAATGCAATATTTATTATTCACAAATTAAGAAATAAATATGAAAACAATTTTTTATTCATAAATTTCTGAATATTTACTAAAATATAAAAATATATACAACTATAAGTAAATCCTTATTATTTACCATTTTATGAAGTTTGAATCAATAGACAATTAAACCATTCCAATAAACAATCTGGTAAATAAATATATAGTGTAAACAATCTAAGAGTTAGAAACAGGGACATTGCTAAAGAGCGAGAACAGAGGAAGAGCAATCAGCAAGAAAGGAGATAGCGATTGACATTGTGTTTAAATTTTTGCAGATTAAAGTTGGCTGGGAAGTATAGAGCTGGAATGGAGTTCCACAAACGAGAAGTGTGAGAAAGGAAACTATTAGCATAGAACTTACAGTTATATCTAGCTAGCTCAACTGTAAATTGATGAAATCTTGATGCCAGTATAGTACTGCGCTTAAATTCAAAGAGACTAGGCACCATCACAAGGACATCATCCAAACAATAACCATGAAAGTATTTATAGAAAAGGCAAAGGGAAGCAACCTTATGGTGGCATGCAAGTGACTGAAGCCAAGATGTTGGATTGGAAGCAATAATATTGCTGATTCTTCTTTAGATTTTTATCAAGGTGCTCTAGATAGATAGCAGGAGCACCAGGCCCTGTGGTAGCAATATTCTAGCTATAGACAAATGATAGACTTATAGATATGTAAGATAGACTCTGGAGAGAAAAACTGTCTAGCATGACACAGTGAACAAACCTTTCTGGTAGCTGACCTACCCATGGATTCAATATAGTCTTTCCATTTCATGTTAGCTGAGAATGTTAGCCCATGCTGATGGAAGGCAAAGATGTTTCTCTCAGATGATTAATATAGAGCAGTTTAGTTTTGGAAGTGTTAAAATTAACAAGCCATCCTTTGCCCCATTTAACAACAGGCTGAAGGTTGTTTTGAATATTGACCTGCTCAAACAGATTAGACTTACTATTAAGACAGGAGAATGGATGTCATCAGCATAGAAACCAAGTTAAGAGTTGATGCCATCGAGAAGGTCATTAATGAAAATTAAAAACAAAATAGAACCCAGGATGGAGACCTGGGGGACACCTGCATTAGTATGAAAGGAACCTGGAAGAGTAGCTGTTCAGAATCACTTTCATTCCATGATCCTTCAACTGTAATAGTCCCAATGTCGATATCAATCAAAGTTGTGTTCTGTTGCCATAGCAGGACACGAAAACACAACTGAGAAATTGAAACATTATTATTTATTAAGTTGCTTGTAGTAGCAGGAGAAACATTTGTCTCAGAGAAGTCACTTTCAAAGTCTTAACAAGAAATTTGATAATGTGAAAAAAATAATGAAGAATGTTTGATTCAGTGACAAAGTCAGTTAAATTTAAAATTGTAATGTCTGTCCTCCTCATTCCTAAATACTGGTTATTTGCCAGATTTCTATGAGGGGAGAGCAGGGGGTGTATAGATTGTATCTTTGAGAATAAATATTGATATATATATATATAATATAATATATATATATATATATATATATAATATATATAATATAATATAATGAATATTGTATCTTTGAGAATAAATATTGATATATATATATATATATATATATATATATATATATAATATAATATAATAAATATTGTATCTTTGAGAATAAATATTGATTTATATATATATATATATATATATATATATATATATATATATAATATAATATAATAAATATTGTATCTTTGAGAATAAATATTGATATATATATAATATATATATATATAATATAATATAATAAATATTGTATCTTGAGAATAAATATTGATATATATATAATATAATATATATATATATATATATATATATATATAATATTTGTATCTTTTGAGAATAAATATTGATATATATATAATATAATATATATATAATATAATAAATAAAAAATTGTACCTTTGAGAATAAATATTGATTTATATATATATATATATATATATATATATATATATATATATATATATAATATAATAATAAATATTGTATCTTTGAGAATAAATATTGTAAAGGAAATAATTAATGGGTCAATAGTGACAAAAAAGTGTTAATTTAATAAGTATTTTAAAATATTTGTATTTGTTCGTTTAAAAACATAAAGAAAGATGTGCCATTGCTTCCCTCTGTCTTTTCTACAAGTACTTTCATGGCAACTGCTCCAACGAGCTAGTTTCGCTGGTTCCCAAACTGCATGAATTTAAGTGTGCTACTAGGTTGGGATCTCAGTCCCACTCTTTCATTGTTGAAACGGTTAAATGTAACCATCTCTTCTACTCCAACAGCTTCATGTCTCGCATTTCCCATCTGCAGAACTCCTTTTCTATTACTTGCTTCCCATATATATATATATATATATATATATATATATATATATATATATAATCTTCAATTATTCAAATGCAATGTCAATCAACATCTTCAGATGCCTTGATCTAATTCCGCCCTTCTCTTCATCCTTTTCTATCATGCTTTTTTTTGTTGCTCCCACTCAGTAACCCCTTTGGTGTGCTAGTGGCACTCCTGCCTTGCTTGGGGTGAAATACTTAAAAAGAAGAGATAATAATACAAAAATGAAAACCCAAACAAATTAAAAACTATGTAAAAAAATTTAGCATTTTATAATTTGATAGTAGAGGTGGTCTATAGAGATATTTAATGTTTTTTTTTGGCCCCGGACAAGTCTGGGCACGTTTTGGTCTGGCTCCACTACAGTTTTCAAAAAGTTGGCCCATTTCCTTCTATTTGAATACAAATTCCCCACTTTATTTGAAAAATTTGGTCTCTATAGCCCATCCCTATTGATAGCATTGCTTTTGTTCTATTTGAACAGTATCATTACTTCTATTTTAATAGAATCATTATTCAATCTGTGGGTAGTAAGGTAACTTATGAAAATAAAATCAATATAAATGCAGGGAAATTCAAATGAATAATGAAGATAATGGATATATTTTGTCTGAAAAGTTTGATACCAAATAATTTTAAAACTGACTAATTTAACAGTTTGCCATGCAAAGATATGAGGTCATGAATATTAGTAGGTGCACATCAGATCTGCAAGACCTCTTGATAAATCTCTGGCCAAACGCATAAATAGACTTACGACGAACGGACCTGCTTTTGCCCTATCTTAATTATTGCTTGATGGCAGGGTCAACGATATACACAGCAATCATTCCACTGCCAATTCGGCTAAAAGTATCATAACATTCATAAGAGCATTTAATAAATGAAATTCTGTCACCCCCACTTCACCATCTCTTGATATCTCACTTTGATTAGGCCAAATGCCGGAGACACTTTAATGGAACTGTCTTGTATGTGAGCAAAACAAGACGGAGCACCCAATACTCTTGGAGCACAGAGACTTTCTTGTACATGACGTCATGTTCTTTGGCTGTCCTTTCATTTACACAATCACTGAACGTGTTGATTACTTCCTTGTTGATTAGAGTTTCTAATTAGGGTGAAAAATAAAATGATCTGAATAAAAGCAGGTTGTTTAAGGTTCAGCTGGATTCACTGAGTACCAAGGGAGCATGTGTCATTATTTAAGACTTTAATTTTTCGGTAGAAGAAACGAGTGCATTTCTACATAATGGTTTTCAAACAGAACAGGAGAATTATTGTTTATATTGATTAATTTTTTTACATCTTATCAACCCTTTGCTGGTTATTTAAAGCCAGAAAATGTTTTAAGAATTTTTTTATAATGGTTTACTGACACAAATCTTACTGATTAACCCATAGCTGGGGGGTATAAAAGTGGATTCATCTCTTTCCAATGGGTATTTGTGTGTAAGTAAATATAATGAACCCAACAGGAATTGGAATTTTGCTCTATGGTTAACTATTCAAGCCATTATCCATTACACCACATGTACATCAAAGCTTACAGCACCTGGTATTCCCAGGTGGTCACCCATCTCAGTACTGACCAAGTTCAATGTTGCTTAACTCCAATGATCATATGCAAACCGGAGACAAACCATTATCACTCAGATATTTAAAATAGACTTTTTTTTCTTTTTTAATTTTTTTTTTAATAATATTTACTCAATACAAAGCCCAAGTGCCACTCAAAGTAGAGGATAACTGAATGAAATGTGTGGTATAAGTGTAGAAGGAGGAAGTAGAAAGTGAATGTTATAAGGACATGGAGGCTAGATAACAGTTGTCCCTAGAACAGTGGTTTCCAAATGGTGCAGCAGAAGAGTATAGCAGGTGACATGGAATAATTGAAAGACAAAGATTTACAAAGTTAAAAAAAACTTTATATGGTTGGGGTGGGGGGAACAAATATTCAAACACATAAAAATTTTAATTTATTATATTACCAACTAATGAATAAACATACTTTTCATATAATTAACTGTACACAGATGCATAATAACTAAATATGCATGGAAAACAAAAACTTTCCATTTAATAGAAATAAATTTTATTGGGTGAAAAACTATTCGTACAATGCAAATTTCAGATTTTAACATTTAAATTACTCTAGATTATTCAAGTGGAATATTCTAGAATGTTTCAATAATGATATCAGTAGTTGTTTTTAGCCTAAAAACAAATACAGAACAGGACATTCTGTAATATCCGTACAAGAAGGTTTTCATCATGTCAAGAGGTAAAGAATTGACAAATTTGCAAAAAGAACTGATTGTTAAGCTCTGGAAAAAAAGGTAAACATTACAGGAAAATCTCAGACAAGCTGAATATTCCATTTACTCGTTTATTCGTTCATTCATTGCAAGGTATAAAAAAAATCAAAACTGTTGAAAACCAAAGAATAACAGGTGCTCCATAGAAGATTTCTGTAAGATCTTTGAGGAAATTAATGCGTCAAATTAAACAACATCCAAATAGAGTTGCAGAATGATTTGCTTTCATCATGAATCTCTGTTACTAAATGGACAATAAGCAATGAAATTCATAGGAATAGTCTAAAGTCACACTCTCCTTGGGAAACTCCACTGCTATTGAAAAGACACAGATGCCAGGTTGAAATTCATTCATGGTAAGGAAAAATTGTATTGGAAAAGAGTTTTATGGACAAACAAAACCAAAATTGAGTTGTTTGGATGTAATTCTAAAAATCATATATGGAGGAAAGATGGTAATGCCTTCAAACAAAAGAACACAGTTCTAACAGTGAAATTTGATGGTGGCAGCAGCATCATGGTTTGGGGATGTTATTCTGGAAACAAATATAATGATTTCAGTTGAAAATCTTGAACTTCCTCCTGATTTGATCTTCCAACAAGATAATGATCCTAAGCACACTGCAAAATCTGTGAAAAAATGTCTTGCTGAAAAAATTTGAGTATCCGGAAATGGCCAAGTCACTCCCTAGATTTAAACCCAATTGAGAATCTGTGGCATTATTTGAAAATTCAAATCCAATTGAGAGCTCCAACAAACATCCCAGATCTGAAGACCATAATCAAAGAAGAATGGAACTAAATACCAACTAAAATTGGCAAATTAAGAACTACAAGAGGAGGTTGGTTGCTGTAGAAGTGAATAATGGCTATTCTACAAAGTATTAAATGAAGATTATGTATTCCTTTTTGTATTGTACAAATACTTTTTCTCCCATTAAAATGGATAAATGGGATTTATTTCTATTAAATCAAAATTTATTCTGTTCTCTATGCATATTTTGTTGTTATACATTTGTGTACAGTTAGTTATATGAAAAGTATGTTTATTCATTAGTTATCAAGTATTAATAGTATAGTAACTAGGGTCCTCAAATTGGAGGAGAGAGTTATTAATGATAATGTTCCAACTTCAAATCTGTGGTTATCTCCCTTTAACACTCTCTCTGCTTTTTTATTTTTAAATGTACTTTTTATCAAACAAAATTTGGTAAGGCAAAATTCATTTCAATAATGCAGTCAAGAGAAAAAAGTTTTGGAACAACTGCCCTAGAAGAAGACTTGAAGTGGTGATTATAATGTCCTTGGAAACATTCATGTCTGAGTCCATTTCAAAAGTAGTGATTCTTGGAAATAAGTTGTCTGAATAGAACTTCCTTCTTACAAATGGAATACAAAGAGAATGAAGGTCATTTGACTTTGTGGACATAACACGACATGTGTTCACTGTAAAGGTTTGAACTGGTGGAACAAAAGACAGTAGCTTATCTGAACATTTTCCATGGAAATAGCAATGGTGTAGCAGTAGCCTTGTGATGTTACATCTATGGGAAAGGGACTGTAGGGTGGAAAATAATTCATCTACAAGGCTGCATAAATGATTTTGAACTCTATCATGGCTGGAAAGTGAAGATTGTGCAGCTCCAGCCCAGATATGGCAGCAATACTCTATTTTTGCTCTGATCTGAATCTTGTAAAGATAAAGCATTGACACATCAGATTTAAAAAAAAAAAGGAAATTTTATTGTATGCTACTACATGTCTGTGCTGGTTCCTGAATAGTACAAATAGCCAGTTAGTTTATAGCATAAATACTAGGGAAAACGAGTATAGATGTCGAGAGTAGCAATGAAAGTTTTCTAAAGACGTGTAATTACATCCACAGCAGCAGATGTATTAAAGTAAACAAAGCTCATGCACGCAGTAAGAGGTTCTTTTTATAACTGATCAGAGGTAGTATATACCCGAAGAAAATAGGAGAATGTACTAGTCAAAATATATTGAGCAAGGATAAATAGTTCCTAGAGTAAATAACATTGATTCCTCTTTGAACTTAATATAGTTCTGAAAAATGCACTGACCAAAATAAAGTGCTAAAAATAACAAAGATGAGGATATTTGTCTAAATGAATTATAGAATAATGAAAATCCTTAATTTTAGAAGGCTTGATTGATTCATTAGAGAGTTATGTAATTCCCACTGTGCAAGCAATTAGGAGTAAAAGCCAGGAATTTTTAATGCTGTTTTCCAAATAAGCAACTTCTCCTCTTGTGAGATTAAAGCAATGCAGTTCTAATCCAGTTTAGCATTTTGGGATGCTAAAATGAACATATGAAGTATCCACACTTCTTCAGAGGATATTTAAAAGGTAAAAGAATGTACTTATTAAATAATCATGGTCAAAACAAGAAAGACAAGGATACTACTAGCCTGAATAATTCATTAAATAAAGGTGCAACTTCATCATGAAACTTCAGACTTCTTTTATGGGCCATGTTCCTTCAGGAAGTGGATGATCATGGCTCTCCACAACTTAACACATAACAAGGAAATGAACTTCCCACTATACATTTTCATTCCATATAGGTCTCCCATTGAGATTAAATCTGTTGCACCCATTTTCAACGATGACAGGTCCATTCCCTTTTTATTTTCTCTCACTTACAAAATTGAATAAACCTAACATGGTTTGCTATTGACAATAGCTGAAGAAACGAAAGATTCCATTTCCCCCAAAAAGTAAGAGTTTGCCTTTCATACTTACAATTTTAAAGATAGAATTTCTCACATTCAGCCTTGACAAATACAATTAATTCCAAATGACATCTCGTCATAGCATAATGGTTAGTGGATATGATTTGTAGATCATTCCTCGTGGCCTTGTGTCAAAACTAAGCTACACTTAGTAAATAGATAGAATTTGTTCCACTATAACTTATTTATCTGTTTTTGTCTCCAATTTTCTTAATGTGTTCTGTGTAAAAATAACTGCACTGTTGTGTTAATTGAAAGGTTGCTGTTAATAGCATTCAGTCTCTGTTAACCTATTGGACATAAAATTGGCGTCATTGTCAAAAGGATCCTCAAAAATAAGATTTACCTCCTGGAGCTATTCTCAATTAATTTGGATGACATTTTGCAAAAGATGTGTCTGACCTATAATAGCGCTTTTCTGTCAGTAACACTTGCATTAATTCCTGGTCATTGACAATGTCTTCTTTTCTGATTTTCAAGCTAGTAAATGCTAAAATTTGGCAAAACTAAATTTTATATAAAAAGGGCAAAGTTTGTTACTTATGCATGAGTTTTTTTTTGTTTTTTTTTCTTGCCAGAAAATTTAACTTATAAGCACAGAAAATGACAGGTTGTTGGACAGTGGTAAAACCATAAGAACCAATAACAAAGGTCAAAACCTTGACCTCCTTTCTCATAATGTGTGTGTGTGTGTGTGTGTGTGTGTGTGTGTGTGTTGATGCATAGCTGAATGGTTAGTATATTATATTCCAACCTTGAGACCTGGGTTCAAATCTCTTTGTGGTTGATTTGTCAGAGAGGTTTCTTTTTGAAAATACTGTCTTGGGAAACTTGTGGCACCGTGATAAATGTCTGAAAACAATACCACAGCCTTAGAGAGGAAACTGGGTAGATGGAATCTTTCAGAAGTCATTGTAACGAGAGTGAGCTAGGGTAAAAGTTATATTTCCCCTGTTATGGGCATTATTATATCTGTGATATAACACCACCATAATTCATGAACAGAAAGGAATGGCTGAAAAGAAAAGAAATGACAAACATGATTTGTTCTCAGAGAGACTGTGAAGAATAATATATCACATACGTCTTCACAACATAGTGTGTTAGGAAAAACAGAAGGCAGGGTCTTACATAAAATATGGAGATACTCCTATATCTGGAGAAGCCATATTCAGAACTCCTGATTCAAATGTGCTGGAATCATCTACTATGTTCCAGGTGAGGACATATTACACAAATAGGAAAACAACGATGGTTGGGTTTTCCCAAATTGAGGACTTCAAGCTGGAGTTTCATTCTATATCTAGGGAAAGATGTATTCCTAAAGGGAAATGCTACCACAGATTTGTAAAGTGTTGGGAAGGCAGATTTAGCTTATGCCCAACCCGAGGGTGAGGGGTAGGTTGTGGGGCTGTGCTAAAGAAAGCAACTTTTTTGTTTGGCTGCTGTAAATGAACTGAATTTTACTGCCACTTTCATCACTGTATAGAGTAACATCACTAAACGGCTGTCATGTGATTCACGTGATTTATCACTATCAAAAGGAGATAAGAACCTTCTGTAT